TCTACAGAATGGGAAAAAATTTTGTCAGCTATTTTTCAGATAGAGGATTAATATCTAGAATATAGTACATAAAGAACTAAAAAAATTAGACATCCTCCCCAAATCAAAGACCCAGTAAAAAAGCAGGGAAACTGAAATGAACACACGCTACTCAGAAGAAATACAAATGGCCACACATAAATAAATGTTCAACATCTCTGGCCATTAGGGAAATGCAAATTAAAAAAACATCCAGATTCCATCTTACTCTGGAGCAAATGGTTATCATCAAGAAATCAAATAATACTACTCAGCCATAAAGAATGAGAAATTAGATTCATTCATAGGAAAATGGATGCATATTGAGGATATACTCCTAAGTGAAATAAATAAGTCACATGTGTGTAAATATCAAATAGTTTCTCTGGTGTGAATAAACTATAATAGTATATAAGATCCTAATGAGATAATTGACAATGTGAAATAGGAAGAAAAGGGCTAAAGGTGTAGGGAAAGTGGGAAGGGCAGGGGAAAGGTAATAAGGGAAAAGAAAAAAATATGACAAAATGAAAAAATGGAAATAAAGTATTTGTAAATAGGAAAGGGGGGGGTGAAGGGAGGGCAGGGACAAGGAGAAAAAATGAGAACCAAGACCTGTCATGTAAAGGTACAAGATCCCAATAATGAATGTAACTGTACTGTATGCCTAAAATGTACCAATAAACTCAATGAGGAAAAGAAGAAAAGAAATCAAATAACAAATGCTGGCAAGGCTGCAGAGAAAATTGTTGGTGGGAATGTGAACTAGAACAACCACTATGGAAATCAGTATGGAGATTCCTCAAAAAACTCAAACTTGGGCTGGGGATTTAGCTCAGTGGCACCATGCTTACCTCCCAAGCACAAGGTTCTGAGTGTGATCCCAGGTACCAAAACAAAATAAAACAAAAAACTAAAACCAGATATTCCATTTGACCCAGGTATTCCCTTTTGTTAACTTTCCAAGAGTTAAAGACATCATAGTACAGTGATATATGTATACCCTGTTTATAGTAGCACAATTCCTAACAGTGAATTTTGGAAGAGGCTTTTATGTTCATCAACAGAAGAATGAATAAAGAAAATGTAGTATCTAATCACAATGGAGTACTACTTTCTCATAAAGAAGAATAAAAGAGTCGTTTGTAGGAAAATGGTTGCACCTTGAGACTATAATGTTAAGTGAAATAAATTAGATACAAGAGCTTAAATAGCACATGGTTTTTCTTATATGAGAAGCCCAAAATACAGACAAAGAGCAAAATAAATTATAAATAATAAGAAGTAGGGAGACATCTTTTGCCAATGGGAAGGAGACTAAGAGATAGAGGGAGGGAGGAAACAGAGGAGGGGAAGGGAATGAAAAAAGAATTAATTTGTGTTATGCACATGTACCAGTGGCCCACAAGGAATGTGATCATTATATACTACAAACATGTAGTAATTAAAATAGAAATTGAGCCAGGCATGGTGGTTCATGCCTGTAATCCCAGCACTCAGGCAGGAGGATTGCTGTGAGTTCAGCCTGGGCTACATAGTGAGTTCCAGGTCAGTCTCAAATACATAGTGAGACCCTGTCTCAAAACAAACAAACAAACAAACAAACAAAGGAAATTGAGGGGAAAAAAAGCTGAGAAGCAACTCTCAGCGCCTGTGTACTATACCTTTTGAAAATGGTCACCACGTTTAGTGCCATTTTATCTCTCCTGTTTTCATTTTACTTTTGCCTTTTTCTTCTCATCTACTAGTCCAAAATCTTATTAAATGTATTTTTGTAAGTCATCTCATACCCTTTCTAGGAAAAAATATAAATAAATCAACAAATGCTTCATTTAATTTGATTAAACCAAATCCTGCAGGATTAAGCACACTTTTCCAATAAAATCCCTACAAAATTAAAAAGATGGTTCAAGCCTTACTCACTTGAGCAGTATTACTGACACTAGAATTCTGACTCAAGACTGACTAGGAGAAGCCGGGCATGGTGGCACACGCCTGTAATCCCAGCACTTGGGAGGCTGAGGCAGGAGGATCATTATGAGTTCAAGACCAGCCTAGGATACATAGTGAATTCCAGGTCAGTCTCAACTACACAGTGAGACCCTGTCCCAAACAAAGCAAAAAAAAAAAAGACTGACTGGGCAGTCTCATGGAGTCATGAGATTTGCTGTGCAGGGGCCTGAGCCTGATGCTGAAAGGCCTCCAGGTCTGTATGCCCTGTGACATCAAGTCAGCTGCCCAGGACTCCAGAGGAGAGATCACTACTATCCTCTCTCCTTTCTCAAAAGCAAAAGAAATCCAAATCAACTTATTTGCCACTGGACACATAAATTCCCAGTGACCTTTTCTGATATCTAAATGCAGCACAATCGGTCCAGCAAGTGAGTGCTTCCTAACCACTAGCTGAGCAGAAAAGAAGGAAGCAGAGAAAGCCAGCCACTGACTTGCTATGCCTACTGCTGATGATTTGGCACCATATTTATGCAACTCTGATGCAGTGCCACAGCGTTTTAGGCAACATGTCAACTTCAGTCATTCTTATACCACATTAGTAGTTTTGTTATATTGTGTAGCACTTATAATTCTTACTTAATATTTGCTTTTGCATCCATTAACTATACTTTAAATCTCATTCTAATCAACAGTACCCATGAAATCGGGAATTTGATATGCTGGTTATGCTTTTTCTAGTATATCACAAAATGAATATTTAACTATTAACATAAAAATTGTTTATATACTTCCCAAAGTCATCTCATGCATAACCAGTCTTAGATGTGCCATTCTCTAGGACACGCTGAAGGAGAAACTTCATCCTAGTCTCATAGGTCTGTCCACGAAGGTGTTGGCTATCGTGGAATTGGAGGATTAGAGAAACTGTTCTAAAAGTTCTATACATGCACATATGTATTATGTATATATATTTATTATTATAGACTGAGACATCACTGAATTCCATAAATACAATTGATCAAAATAATCAAAGTAGCAAACCCTTGAATATTGATTCCGCCTTATTTTATTTTATTTATTTATTTTAATTGTTTGGACTGGGAATTGAACTCAGGACCTTGTCCTTGTGAGGCAGGCAGCAGAACCACTGAGCTACATCCCTGGCTCCTTGATCCCACCTTTTAAATTAGGTAATGGCAGTAGGCCAACTGGTTTTTCTTCTGATTTAAGCATTAGTAATTTACTTAGAAATTTTAGTTTAAGATGAATAACTTTCCTTTTGAGTGCCACTTTTCTAAAACTCATGAGTATAAGAGAATTAGGTAGCTAGGCTGAGATAAAGGGCTATGTTCAAATGATAAAGAATACACATAGCAGTAGAAAAAAATTGCATTTTGGAAAACCAAATAATGATAAGGTAGAACCTAACTTTTACACCATTCCCCTTTGGGATTGTAGGTTTGTTGTAATAAAACTAAGCCTTTACAACAAACATATTTGCGAATGCCAACAGTATAGTGTTTTTAAAGCCCTTGAAACGAGGGAAGTTATGACAAGTTCTTCATTTTACAAACAGTACTTGTTCATTCAGTTGGCAAGGAGAATTTTGTGTATAAAATATCAGCAAATATGCCTTGAGGACTACATTCCAAAGTAGGCTAGAAGTTTCTCTAGACCCTGTGGTGTTGGAAATATTCTGGGGATAATGTCAGAAAGGGAGAAAATGGAGGAAAAGAGCTTCTGTTGCAGTAGCTGGAAAAAGTGAGTTGATGGCATTTTGTCATGGCACACTGGGGATATAAAGGCAGAAGAGAAAAAACAAATTGGAAAAATAATTTTTCTGCAAGGTCAAGAAGACTATTTTATTAGCAACAAGACAACGGTCAAAGGGACCTGAGTCTTAACTGGGGTCCTGGATGACATGAGAGCTGAACTCCAGGGTTTTAAAAAAAGTGCTAGGCCAGACAGGTTTTTAGGATGATGATGATGATGATGATGATGATGATGATGATGATGATGATGATGATGATTGAAGATTTAATCAATTATCAGAAGTAGAAAAGATATACTTGAATACCGAGAGTGCAGATACATGGTTTCAGGAGGACAGTATCACAATGCCAGATAATGGCAACATGGGAGAGGTGAGACCAATCACCACAAATCCTAGGAGCTAAGACAAAGGCTGTAAAGCCAGGTGGTCTAGGAGTTGGATCTTGCTCCTCTGAGGATGGAGGTTTGAGGGTTTTGGCTCACTTGGGTCACAGCAGCTCTCAGACAATGGTGCAAGAAAAAAAGAAAATTAGAGACATCAGGTTGTTTGTTTTTTCATTTTGTTCTTGACAGTTCTTATGAAATGTTATGGTAGAACAGAGTTTAAAAGGTAGAATTAACTAGGAGAAAGGGGCCCTTTACTGGCCAAGAGGATTTGGAAAGCAAGTGAGGCCTCCACAGAAATTTGAAGTTGGTTTTAAATGAGAAGAAGCTTAAAAGAGACCCCCTTGTTATCAACTGGATTACATTTGGTGAACTGCATTTGGTAAAGTCTAAAGTTACACTGCAGCCTCCCGAGTCCACCCCCCTTCGCATGGGGTGTGTGTGTGTGTGTGTGTGTCACAGGAACCTAACAATGTGACATATTCGTGGCATGATGGAAAGTACCTAAAAAAGCCCAAGTCAGCAGTCATGTGCTTCATGGGGTTGGTGAAGAAAGAATTGTGTGAGTGTGCATGCGTGTGGTCCAAAAGTGCAACCTGATTATGTAAAGAAACTTCTAACCCCCCATGTCTACCAATAAAGGAGATATTAAATAAATTCTGACACGGTCACGCAGTGGGACGCTAGGCAGCCTTTAAACAGCCGGAGGTAGATCTTTGTGGAGGATTTGGTGCAGAAACAAGAGTTTTCTTTGTCGCAGGTGTGGCTTTCAGGGCAAGGGGTTACTGTCGCTGGTGACGGTGGCTTGAGGGGCCAAACTGAGAGCTGCCCACAAGCTATGAGGGGCTGTTTTGAGGCTCGTGGTCTCCTACCTGTCTGGTGAAACTGCTTCCAAGAGAAAATCTCAATCTCTTCTCAGGTGGACCCGAGCCAGGGTCTCTGGTGGGCTGACAGGAACGCAGCCTTACGTGGAGAAGGGGATTCTGGGCAATGTAGTTCCAGCTTCACCCTAGCGCACAGGAGGACTTGGAGGGTGACGCGCTGGTGGCCAAGGCAGTTGTGCAGCCTGCGTGTGTGAGAGAAGGGTCCCCCTAGCAGGGATCACCTCGAGGGTAAGGTTGTAAAGTGAGGGGAAGAAAAGGCATGAAAGGAACACACTTGGTACCGGGGATCGAACTCGGGACCTTGCTCAGGAACCAGAGCTAAATCTCCAGCCCTTTTTAGTGTTATTTTTGATTGGCACGTCATTGTACGCATTTATGGGGCTCAATGTGGTGTTTTGATATGTTTACTCATTGTGGAATGATCAAAGCAGGGTAAGGGCCATACCCATTTGCTCTGGCTGGAAGCCTAAAGTCTTCTCAGACTCCCCCTCACCCTCAGCTCCATGGTCAGTGTCACCCCTTCTAGTCTTCTTCCATTCTCTCTCCCTTCCTGCACGGGCGTCTGAGTCCTCATTCCACTTGCTCCCTGAAATCCACCCTGCACATTTCTGACAAACTGAAGAAACCCCCGGCACACTCAAGCCCCTGCCATGGCTTCCCACTGCTTACTTAGCAAAGGAGCCTAAGGCCCACGTCAGGATGTCCTTTATCACCGGCTGCACGCACCCTGCTGGGCCTGCTCCCTGCATGCACAGGTTGCCACTTCGGATTGGCTAACTCCTCCCTGCCTCCAACTGCACATCTTTCCTACCCTCATATCTTTGCTCACACTAGCCTCACCGATGGAAAGAAAACTCTTTCCATTTCTCTCTTAATAAACTCCTTCTTACTCAGCGCCTGGCTCAAAGCTCATATCTGCCAGGAAGCCTTCCCTGCCACACACCAGGCACCAGTGATCTGTCAACTTCAAGCAGTTCAAGAGCTTATTGTCTGGGACCCTGCTTTTGATCCTTAATAATACACTTTGTGATTTTCCTCTGTGTTCTCAGGTGAATAAATAGCCCATTCTTTGAAAGCGGGAATATGCTTTTTGGTCCCTGCTTCTTGCAGATGGTCTTGGTTAATGAGTGAAGCTATTTCTAAGCCTTCTCTGTAAAAGGACACCCACTTCTTTCATTTCCTATGTTCAGGGAGATCTTGAGATAGACAGCTCAGGTGTTGTGAAAATCATGAAGGCCATGTCTTGTAGCAGTGTGCTCACTTTTTAAACAAAGACAGCTAGGTTGAGATACATTTTATATCCTATACAATTCACCCTTGTGAAGTGTCCAATAAAATGATTTTTAGTTTGTTCACAGAATTGTGCAACTTTTTTTTTTTTTGGTACCAGGGGATCAAACTTGGGACCTTGTGCTTGTGAGGCAGGCAGCAGAACTACTGAGCTAAATCCCTGGCCCATTGTGCAACTATCACAAGAGCATTCACTTTTACTTATGTGCTCATCTACATTGTTTTAAATCATTGCAAACCTATATATTAAATAAATATGATGGAGTCAAGTATAATCTAGCCTGGTGATTTTCTTGGAGTAATTAAAATAGAATTGCCTGAAAAATGTAGGATGGTCAGTTAAATGTGAATTTCAGATAAACAATGAAAAGTGTTTTGTGTAATTTAAGTGCAATATTTGGGACATACTTAGACCAGAAAAGTAGTCATTGTTTGTGTGAAATTCACATGTAATTATGAAATTGTGTAAATGTTAAGTGTGGAAGAGGAGGGTGGCAAAACATGGTAAATTTTATCAAGCTCATGCTGTATGTATGTATGGAAATATACATAATTTATTAATATAGATTATGTATATATTAATATTATATATATATTAATTATTATAAATGAATATATATTAATATATATATTTTTGAGACAGGGTCTTACTATGTAGTTGAGACTGACCTGGAACTCACTATGTAGCCCAGGTTGGTCTCGAACACACAGCAATCCTCCTGTCTCAGCCTCCCAAGTGCTGGGATTAAAGGCATGAGCCACCATGCCTGGCTCCCTAAACAAAAATGTTCAGCATAAGTATACACTGACCATTTGACCTAGCCATTCCACTTTAAAGAGTTTGCAGAAGAGAAATGAAAACATATTTCTACACTGAACCTGTACATGAATATTACAGCAGCTTTATTGATAATGGTCAAAAAATAAGAGCTTGTCAATAAGAATGCTACTCAGCAATAAATTATTGGTATATGTGTGAATAACATGTATAAATCCAAAAATACATTGCACTGAGTAAAAGAAGACAGAATGTGAACTTCTAAATAAGCAACATTTATCTTTCTTGGGGTTGTTATTTCTTTTGTTTTTTGTTTTTGGTAGTGGGGATCAAACTTGGGTCCTTGTGCTGGCGAGGCGGGCAGCAGCACCACTGAGCTAAATCCCCGGCCCCTTGGGGTTGTTGTTTTTCAGACAAGGTATCACTATGCAGCCTAGGCTGGCCTGAAACTTGCTGCATTTCTCCTGCTTCAGCCTACCAACTGCTGGGATTAAAGGCATGCGCCACTGCACCCAGCTGCAACATTAATCTATAGAGGCAGAAAGGAGATAAGCTTTGCACCGGGGGTGAGAGATTGCTTACTAAAAGGCACAAGAGAATTTATTTCCTGGGTGATGGGAATGTTCTATGTCCTGACAGTGGTGGTGTTACACAGGTGTGTAAAATTGTCAAAATCACTGAACCTACTGGGAACAGGTTTATTTTATTGCATATAAATTATGTCTCAATAATAGGGATTCAGAAAAAGAAACAATTTTTTTTATCAAGGAGCAGTAAATTAGTAGCATGAGTTTAGAACTCCAATCAACACATGCTCTGTAGTGGATTTTACTATTAGCAGTTATTTAGTTTAATAAAACAAAAATCTTCTTCTTCCATCTTCTAGATTCATTTACAGTTTTATAGCTCAGACACCACTAAATCTACCTGACTGATGATTGTCCCTAACCACCAATGGAGGACCACTTTGTTTACTGAGGAATCTACTTTCATCCAACAAATTATTAATTAATTGTCCTCTCTGGGCTTTGCTTCACACTAGGCTATGGTCAGTTGGTCTGGAGATTTATGGGGCCTAGTGCTGAGCACTGGGGAAAGGGGATTGAGACAGGCATTAATTAAATGATCACACAAGTACACATACAAATAGCAAGGGCATAAAAGACACAGTGTTACTATAGAAGACTGGAATGGCTGCCTCTTCCTCCTGTTCTCCAGGGAGAATTCTTGCTGGTCACTCAGCTCTGCTCTTTTCTAGGTAGGTGCTGCCTTCCCAATCCCTGCCTTCTGGGGTGGGTGAAGTGGACAGTTGCACTGGTTCATCCCTCCCATGCTAACAGAACCCTGACTTTCTTTGGGGAAGCCGTGCTCACAGCTGGATGACTTTCATAACAAGTATTTCTGGTGAAAGTTGTTGGGAAAGAAATATGACATGTTATAGGATTCCTTTTATACAAAATTTCTAGAAAATTCAGTACAATTTCTAGTGACAGAAAACAGATCAGTGGTTGCCCAGGACTGGAGAGAGGGATCCCTGGCCACAGGAGTACTGAGCGCAGGTGACATGACCACTGCCCTCTTTGATAGTTTCTTTTACTGTGTGAAGGAGGAGGAGGACCATTCCTCAGAGAGAAGGTATGGGAGCACTGTAAGGGAGCAGGAGCTCTGTGGAGTGCTGCAGTGCCTCTGAGATGGTCACGGCAGGTGACGACTTTAGCTGCCTCTGCAGCAGGGGCTTCATGGGTGTGCTAGACAGAGGTGGCAGCCTGCCAGCACGGGGCAGGGCAGGTGGCAGGCATGTCCTTGGAAGAAGAGGGGACAGAGCAAAGTAGTTTACAAAAGAATTGCTGTAGTGATGAACCATGGAATCTATGCTAAATAAATATGCAAGGCCAGAAGGTGGCTGAGTCATTTGGAGATAGTTCTCTCTCGCCTGTTGAGTTTTACTGTCCTTGTATTCAAGGAGATTAAGAAGTCTTCAGGGGCTGGGGATTTAGCTCAGTGGTTCTGCCACATACCTCGCAAGCACAAGGTCCCGAGTTTGATCCCCAGTACCAAAAAAAAAAAAAAAGTTTTCAAACTCTATCTAAGTTAATGCTAGCTTCAAGGTTCACCTTCTATTGAGAAACTCATTTTGTGGCTAGAGTGTAGCTCAGTGGTAGAGCACTTCCTTAGCACTCATGTATGTGTGAAGCCCTGGGTTCTGTTCTCAGTATCACAAAATAAACAGAAGCTTACTTCTCTCCCCACTATGGTTTCACTTCTGTATCAAAACAAATTCGTTTTTTAAGGGAACTTACAACAGTCTGACAGTCCTTGGTGACTCCATGAACTCCACCCACCTGTTTATTTTGAATGGTCCTTTTAGTGTCTTTGTATATGTGTAATTGTTTGAATTTGACACAGAGGAATCTTTCTTGTTTGCCTTCATCTTTGTTCATGAGCTCCTTTGGGGAGGATGGGAGCAGGGTACAGTAATGGTAAGTGCTTAGTAGGACTCAACCTGTAGTGCAGCATTTTACTTTTTTTTTTTTTTGGTACCAGGGATCAAACTTGGACCTTGAGCTTGTGAGGTAGGCAGTGGAAGCACTGAGCTAAATCCCTAGCCCTAGCATTTTACATTTGATGGGCCCTTAATATTGATTAGTAACAACCCAATAAATCAAATCACTCTTTTTAAAACTTTTCCTATATAAGACTAATCTCTGAATTACGTGAAATGTCTCTGAGTTGAGCAGGTTCTGAAATAATAGATAATTCAAGTAGTATCTTCTGGTTTCGCTTTTGTTTTGTTCTGGTGGAGGGGAGATGTTGTTTCGGAAGGAATCAGTAAGTGACACACAGAGAGGCAGCAGAGTAGAAGTAAAATAATAAATTTACTTATCAATAAGGGTCAATCGCACATAAGCCGTGTCTGGATCGACAACGCACTGGGTTACAACTCCTCCTTTTCTAGGGTTTTACAACCTTGACTTCATTTGGGTGGTTATATTTCATTCTCACA